CCAAGACTGGTGGATCGAGCTTGCAACTGAGGCACATGCCCTTGCCTGGAATCGAACTTGAGACCCTTCAGTCCACGGGCTGAAGCTCTAACCACTGATCCAAACCGGCTAGGACTTGCCACTCATTTTTGTATGGTCTGTGAGCTAAGCAGTCTTTATGTTTTTTAATGATTAAAACAAAATATTTTTAAAGAACAGACTTTTGTGAAAACTCTATAGAATTCAAAGGACAGTGTCCACAAATAAAGTGTCATTGGAGCAAAGCCCTGACCGTTTATTGACAGATGGCCTAGGACCGCCTCCTGCCCAGCGGCAGTGAAGAGTAACTGCACAGAGACTGCATGGCTCAGGCCCTCCACGTTGGCCTTCCTGCGGCTCCCTGCACAGATGGAGAGAACAGCCTCCAGGTCTGGGCGGGCTGCCAGCACAGTCACTTTCTGGCTAGTGGTTATGTCCCCCATCCAAGCCAGCTCTGCAGCCAGGTGGTGCCAGCCCCACCCCATCCCTCTCCGTGACTTTGCTGTCCAGGTCTCCCCTCTGGTCCAGATCCATCTGAGGGGAGAGAGGAAAGAGCTCTCCCAGGCCTCACATAGTGAAGGGGGAGCCCGGTCACGCTCCTCCAGGAACTCCTCCAGGGTGATCATCCACTGCTCTGGGGGGCCCAGGGCCACCCCCAGGCCTGGGGCTGGGCAACACCCCTCTTCTGGATGCTTCCTGGTGGAGAGGCCCATTTTGGGTGACAGGTACTCCTGGAGGCCGAGGGTAGTGTGTCCTGGGGTGCTGGCATCACGAGGCGGGGCAGAGTGCTGTGTCCCTGCTGGGCATCAGGTCCTCACTGCTCTTGGGTTTGTGGTGGAGCCGGTCGGGTCGGAGGAACCTGGTGTCAGGGCGAGGGGACACAGAGGGACACACGTCAGCCTCTCACTCTCACGCACCTGCCTCCAGTGGGCTCTGTGCTGCCTCCGGCTCAGGGAACACAGGGAGCCCTGCTGGGGAGCCCAGAGCACACTTCTCCCAGGCTGGCACTGGGATGTCAAGGACATGCTGGGATTCTCTAGAAGTTCACAGTGGGGTTTAAAAACAAAATAACGTGGGAGGGAAGTGCAGAGCTCCTGCTAAAGCTGAAATTAGGAACAGCTGTGAGGCAACTCCCTCCTTAGCCCTTGGGACAGCGTAGACAGACCATCTTCTGCACCATTAACAAACTTAAACGCTGTAAAGGAATCACACTCACCCGTGTCCTCTGACCACGATGGACCGGAACTCCCAGCCCTGTCCCCATCCGGAAGCTGCAGGAACTCAGGCTCGGAGGATGAGTGGCTCACCCAGGTGCCCAGAGCCGGTCAGTGAGGAGAAGGGATCTGGACCCAAATTCGTGAAAACTCCCAGGCCTGAGCCTGAAACTGCATGATGTGCCCTAAAGAGGCAAACCCATCATGCTGTGAAGAACTTGCTAATTGTCTTCTTTAAATCACACAAATAACACAAAGCCCACAGCCCAGATCCAAGGGCACTGGAAAGTGCCAGAAGGAAAGCCGACTTACCCTTCAGGCCCCGAGGTGAGCCGTCACTGGACGCATGCCTACGGCTCTCTAAGCTGCCTGGCCGGGACCCTGAGAGGAAAGGACAACCCTTAACCCAAACGGCCGATGACCAGTCTAGCCCAGACTAAGCCCTCCAGTCTGACAACAAAGACATAACAGAGCGATTCTGCCACAGCTTAGGGGAGCGCCCCCAGGAGCACTGACCTGGATTCTGGAGACGCCCCAGGAGGGTCCCGCCTCCCCTGAGTGCCAGGCCCCGTGCACAGTGGGCATGGGCTGTGTGGGATGACAGCCTGTGCTTCTGTGTCTGTGAGGTCTGGGGCTGGGCTCAAACAATTTTGTTAACAAAGGAAATTTCACGCAGAACTCCGGTACAGACCAAACAGGGCGGCTCTGGGAAAGTGAAGGGTGTGGAGCCCACCCTTACTACACATGGAGCTTTCTAGACCACGTGGAAACACCCTGCCTAGACCAGGACAGTGGCACCTGGTGAGGGTGGGAGCCAGCACAGGGCAGAGTATGTGCGCCCACCGATGGACAATGAACCCTGTGCCCGCTCCAGGGCCCGCTTCCCCTCGGTGGTCCAAGGGGGCGGGTGCTGGGGTCTCAGGAGGAAAGTACGTGCTGGCTTTCCGTGGCTGTTTGCTGTCCTTCAGCTCCTTCTCTTTTTTGCCTCAAATTGACATCTGCCCCAAAGGGAAAAGAAACGGACCTCCCCCATGACAAGTGTGGGGCAGCCGCCCTCCTGAGTGCAGTGTGTGCCCGCCTGAGCGTGTCTAGGGCAGCCCTCCCTGCCTCCCTAGGATCACAGGGGGAGCACCTGCTGCAGGGATGGCGGCACCACCTGGCCAGGGCAGGCAGTCCCTTCCAGGCCTGCAGACCTCCCCTCCTGGTCCAAGCCCCCAGCACACCCAGTCCCACGGTGCCAACCCCCCACCTGCAACTCCGGTCCCACTGCACAGTCATGGCTGGGGACAGGGACTGTGTGACCGTCATCCCTGCACACAGCTGGTGTTGAGCTGAACTGCACTGAGAACCGGGGACACACTAGTAGCGGCTCTGCTTCCACCCCCCAAGCAGTCTGCTCTGGACTCACTGGGGCACAGGGCACCCAGGTCCCCAGCCCCGGCACGCTCCCCAAATAGCAGGCATCAGAACAAGCCTGTTAGCAGCGGGGTTTGGGGGTGAACCAACAAGTACTTGATTTCCGTGAAGAGCACAGAAGCAGAACGAGCCCCCTTTCTGAGTAGGAAAAACTTGGACAAAAAAGCCCACCTTCCTCTTGGAAAAGGACGTGTCACTGAAAGGCAACTGTGATACAGCTCAGCGGCTCCCAAAGCCTCCGTCCATTCCAGCCCTGCTCTGCCCACCCCTTCGCCTGTCTCTTGATGAGAGAAGCTCGAGGAATCGGAACACTGAGGAAGACGATCCCTTTCCTCAGCAGATTTGGTGTAAATCTGGCCCCTTGGTGACACTTCCAAGAGTGCTGGCCGACTCCTCCTGTCATGTTACCCTCCACCCAGTGCCAAGAGGGGAGGGCTCCGCGGTGTCACACTGCCCCCCACAGAGCCTGTCTCTGCCATAAGTTGCAGGAGTCCATGCCGATACTTCAGAAGCCGAAGCCAATGTAAACGCTCTCAGTTTTTGTTTTAATTAAAAAATTAGCTCCCCAGAAGCCGAAGCCAATGTAAACGCTCTCAGTTTTTGTTTTAATTAAAAAGTTAGCTCCCCACCCTCCTAGGATTTTGTTCTTTGGAAATTCTGAAGACCCAAAGGGACTATTAATGTTTGAGAAGGCTGGTCTCATTCACTGATTCCCTTCTGCCTACATGAGAAGGCAAGTGTTTCCGCCAATTTCTAAGATGAAATTTACCCCTGGGAGCTGCTCTGGGCAACTCCAATCCAGGTGAGGAAGGTGAGACCTTCCTGCAATCAGTGCTCTCTGCCTGGACCACTAGGCCTTCCTTCAGGCAAGGGCAGCCAGAGCCTCCAGAATAGCGACTCCCCATCGCGGAAGGGGTGCAAGCAGGAGCTGCATGCTTAGGCCCCTCGGGGAGGCAGGGAAGGGGTGTTAAGGAACTGGTGTCCCCATTCCCGCTTCAGCATAACACCTCCACTTGACCGCCTTTGTGTGTGGGACTTGCACACAGGCCTTAGCTTGAAGGAAAAGCACTGGTGGTGGAAACAGGTCTGAGATCCAGGCTGAAGGGCACCATGCACCGCCCACTCCCCGTGCTGCCTGTGGTTGGGAACTGGAGCTCCAGGGACCACTCACGGGGGCTGTCATCTGAATTCTAGCCCGCAGAGATCATAAGGCTGGTGAGTCAGCGGACCTGGAACATCCACGGGGATTCTGGGCCTTTTGCCAGACGCCCACCTCTGACTCTAGCCCAGCCCTGAGACGTCGTCTTGTCCAGCTCCTGGAGGAGGGAGGGTCGGGTGGTCTATCCCCTTGGGGAGTATGTGCCCTGTATGTCCTATCTCTCCCCATTTCTCCTGCTGGGACAGCCTCACACTCGGGACTCTCTCTGACTTAACTGTCAATCACTCTTCCGCCTGCGCAATGACTGGGACTCCAAAGGACAGCAGTGTCCTGGCCTAAGGGCCATGCAGCAAAGGCAGCTGATACTTAGAATCCCGGGAGCCCCTCCCACCTCCAGGGCCAGCTGCACCATAAGCAGGGCCCTGAGAGCAATCCTCTCCCAGGGGCCTGGGGCCTCCAGGGCTTGGAGGAAGCAAAAGGAAAGAACCACCACCTGAGGGAGGAGGCGGGTTCCCTAGAGACTGAGCCTGCACCAGCAGCTCCTCACCAGCAACGTCAGGAATCCATGGGCCACCAGTCACTGCTCTTCCCTGAGAAGGACTAAGATGCCCTGTGCCTTAGGACTGCCAGCTGCTCTCTGACAGCAGCCCTGGGTCCCCCCCAAATGGACACCAGGGTCTCCATTGTGCAGACAGTTCTAGGTCACCCTGAGCGTGAGCACTGGGCTGCCAGGGAATCGCCGTGGGCAGTGCTGGGTGTGCAGTGTGAGGGGCCCTCAGGCAGGCTCCGCAGGCGTCTGAACAGGCCTGGGCTCTGGCTCAGGGGGGATCCAGGCTGAGGCAGCCCAATGGTTAGCCTGGAGGGCCAGGCCTGGAGCCATACAGGCGGCTGGCAGGCCCAGGGGAGGTGGTGCTCCCGGCTCCTGCTGGAGCCCAGGCAGGGCTTCTGCTCTGCAGAGCCAGGGAGACCAGGCTGAGTGCTGAGTGCCCACAAGGATCACAGAGCAAGCCCACCCCAGCCCCACAGGGCACAGCACCCCTGAACCCAACAGTCAGTGACTGCCATTTCAGTGTCTGGCCAGGAGCACAGAGGGACTGCCTCCTGCCCTGTGCTCACCTCGTCACAGGGGTGCTTCTGATTTGTAAATCAGGGGCCTGAGCCAGGCAGCCTAGAGGGCAGGGGCCCTGTCTGTCTTTGCTGGGCTTTTCAAACCACGGTTATGCTTGTCATAGCTTCCAGGGTCCAGTGGGAGGTAAGATGATGAAAAATCATAACTGCTTCTTCTCTCGTCAGTTTCTAACACCTCCGGGGCCGTCATTTCCAGCTCTTCTGCTGTCCTCAGATGCTGTCATCTCTAGGTCATAAGCAGAATGTCTTTTTGTTTTAAGCTGTATTTCTCCCCTCTGTTGCATATTTTACATTTCCCAGTGCTCATCCCCAGATGCTCCTTTTCACAGCATCCTGCTCTGCTTGCACCGTGCAAAGTAAGCTACTGGCATCTGGAGACATCCAACCTGTCAATCCTCCCCGAATCCCCTTGTTTTTCAGTCTAGGACACCTGCCCTCCTCGCCATGGACCAGCCTCCAGTGCAGGGACCCTGTCAATCTCCACCCTGGAGAATAAACCTCCAATGTTGCCTGATTTTAGCCCAAACTCTGGTTCACCTCCGTTCAGGAGCCGCTTGGTGCCATCAATTCCTGAGCAGTGGTGTGGGTCCCAGGGCTCAGGCCCAGCCGTCCAGATGGCGGAGTTACCCTCCCAAAGTTGCACAGCTGTAGGTGGAGGTGAGCTCTGAACCTGAGTGTGTGGGACGCCATCCTGTCCCCAGCGTCACCCACCTACTGACCACCTCTGGGTCTGAGAGGCACCTCCTGCCCCTGCGAGCTGGGTCTTTGGGAAGGATCTCGGGCCGAGATGCTCATCCCTCTTGGTTCTGGAGGGCCCCGTGACTCACCGTGGGTGTGGCCTGGGTGCCGGGAGGTGGAGGTGGAGCTGGGAGGAGCTGTAGTGATGGCTGAGGATGAACAGGCCCTGGAGCCCAGCTCTGATGGCCTGGGCTTGGTGGCTGGGTCAGCGGAGGCATCAGTGCAGTCAAGGCTGCCTCTGGGCGGGGCCACTCCCTTTGGTATTGGGTCCCCAGGGCCTGGGGCAGAGAAGGACAGTGAGAAATGGGGCTGCAAAATCCCATGCCAAGGTGAGGCGATCACACTGAGGCCTAGAAGCAGAGGCAGCAGGGCCAGGGAGCCCAGGGACAAAAGCGGGGCTGTGTGCCTCATGGGCTGTGGTCTAAGGGGGGGCCCTGGTGGCAGCCTGAGTTGGAGGCCCCAGGACGCTGGCCCTGGCTCTAACCATGGATCACAGTGTTAGCCCCCAGCAGCCAGGAGGAAATAAAGGGTGAGCTCAGGAAGCTCAACAAAATGTTGGTAAAAGTCCAACACGTTAACTACTGGGCCCCCCTGCCGTGTCCCTCAGTCCCTGATCACTAGTTAGAAGACCTGGCCTGTGGCTGCTTAGGACCACTCCCGTCCTGTGGGCCAGGCCCTCAAGGTCCAGGATGTGCACCCTGCCAATGGACTTCCCTTATGATTTGAGAAAGAAGTTCATTGCCACCCTAACAGTCATCTGTTTAAGAAGTCTTCATCTCTCATGATGACTTTGATTGCAAGAATGATTTTTACCTTGTATGTTTTGCAATCTCTGAATTTTCTCCTGTGAACACATACTCTTGTCAAAGTTAAATAAAACCCCAATAAAAACAGCAACATTGGGAGGAAAAACACACCTGAAAGACCTTCGACTACCTTGTAGTAGGAAAGGGGATGGGCTCTCCAAATACAAATGAAAAACGAATGCGGTTGGAGTTCCTCAGAGCATCAGGACCAGCTGTTTTGCACAGTGTCCTGCTCCAGGCAGCTGGAGGGCTATGGTCCCGGAGCCACGCCCACTGTGGGGATTCTGGCCCCTCCACTCTCTCCCAGGACCTGTTGCCCCTGCCCCTCAGCCACCCAGTGTCTGGACTCACAGGGAAGTTTTAAGCACCCAAGCCTTGCAATGTGAAATCAAGGGGAGATTTGGATTCTGAAAGATAACCTTGATGAGCAGCAAGATTCACGTCTGGTGGGATGAATCTGACAGGTGTCCACTGCCTGAGGTCAGCGTGAGGAGCAGCGGGGAGGCAGAAGTGCCAGACAGCAGCCAGGGCAGAGAGAGCGCGTTTCCAACAGCATGCGGGGCAGGCAGGCAGGGGACCAGCACGCTGCAGCCCAGGAATCAGAGCGATGCATGTGACAGTCAGTGCCACATCAACCGACAGGAGCAGTGCGAGAGTCCACCCGTTTACTTTTACGGTGACCTTGTGTTTATATGGTTTTCCATTCACAGTACGGATAACAATCTTTTAAAATAAAGTGGAAACTGCAAGTCAATTCAAGGGAAAGTATGTAAGTATCACTCAGGTGAAATAGACTTTGCAAAATCATGGAGATGGTATGAGGATGGCTGAAGACAGAAAACAATGCAGTAGCTAAAGGCTTCTGTGGACCAGTGTTCCCAGCTGACGGTGACAGTGAGCTGATGACCTGTCTGTCCACTGCTGCCCTCACAGCAGCATCCAAGACGTCAGAGGACCTCAGCACGGTCCGAAAACCTCACTTTGGGCTGAACCCTGGCTGGGCAACATCGATCCGATTATTTGAGATGCTGAGTGGAGCAGTCAATTCTTCAAAACACAGAACACATCTAAAAAGGGACTGCTCTGCAAAAGCCAAGATTCTGTGCTCTGACTCAGAAGGTGGAGACAAGGGCAGCAGATTGAAAGTTAGCTGCCCAAAAATGAGTCTTAAAAAAACTCACTTGACAGGGGCCGCGCAGTTTCAGAAGCATAGCGACCACTGATGAGTTCTGCGCTGCACAGGGGCAAGGTCAAGAAGCCTGCAGGTGTGAGAGAGGGGGCAGCACTGGGCCCGGGCCTCACTTAGCACAGACACCCTGGCCCAGGGACCTGGCGTGGATGCCCTGAGGCTCCCCTAACACTGGGCTGCGCTGGAGTCAGGTCCAGAGGCCGAGACAACTGGTCTCCTTTGAAGTCAGAATCCAGGTTGGCTGCTTTAAGCTTGGCTTGGAATTTGGGTCAGGAGGAGGGGTCCACTGAGGGTCATCTGGCCTTTAGCTACTGTTTTTCTGTTTGTTTTTTGAATTTCAGACATGAAGGCAGGTACATTGTGAAGACACTGATGGATTAGAAATCCCCAGCGTCTGAGAAAGGGAGGGGCTAGTGGGAAGCAGGTTTGATGTCAGAGCAGGTCCAGAACCTCAGACGTTTATAGAAAGCCAGGCGGGATGATGGAGACTTGGCCTTGTCCTCGCTCCCACTTCTGCAAAAGCGACTCTTTTTGCGCCGAGTTGCTAAATTGTGATCCCCAGGATAACCCAAGAGAGGAAGGAAAAACAAAACAAAACAGCAAATAAATGAAATGAATAACAAATGACTGCCTTAGCTAAATGTTCTTGGGAAATCAGAGTCCTGTCCTGCCCAGGAGAGTTGGAAACAATACCCACAGCACAATCAGAATCAGGACTCGGTGAACCATTCTGCTCTGACCCCACTTAATTAATTTAGTGGCGTCCTGTGCCAGGCTTTACTTAGCACGTGAGGAACATTCAATATTGCTCTAGGAGCCGCTGCCTTAGACTATTTTTCAATGTCAATGTGTTAACTATTAAATAAGAATGTTTACTAGTTTAGGACCCGGTTTTTCTTACTCCTCCGCCCTAATGACAAGTTCCCTGGCAACTTGGCTCACACACAACTAACTCCTGCTCCTGTTCAAACACCTTGGGACACTTCCTGGTGTGCTTCTGGCTGCTGCAACGGGACAGTCCACCTAAACTGCTCACTAATAGTCCTTGTGCATCTCAAACAGCCTCTTATGGAAGGATGAGTTTGAAATTCCTCTTTTTCAGACCAAAACACTGTCAACATCAAGAATTATTCCCATTTAGATCCCTACACATCCTCTACTGCAAGCCTACACTTCATGACCTTTAAATTATGGAGTCTTATCAGAGCAGACAATTGGCCTGAACATGTCATGTACATGAGCATAGCTGACTTACCTGATTTCTGACTTAGGATTCAAGTTCATAGCAGGTCCACTGTTATTTCTCTCTCCACAGCACCACCTGGTGGCCACAGCTCACACCACAGGAGAAGGAACCTACTACCAGTGATGGTGAACCTTTTGAACTCCGTGTGTCAGCATTTTGAAAAACCCTAACTTAACTCTGGTGCCGTGTCACATTTAGAAATTTTTTGATATTTGCAACCATAGTAAAACAAAGACTTATATTTTTGATATTTATTTTATATATTTAAATGCCATTTAACAAAGAAAAATCAACCAAAAAAATGAGTTCGCGTATCATAGGTTCGCCATCACTGCACTATGCAATGCTGGTGCCCCAGGCTTGGTCAGCACCTTCAGGGACCAAAGCAGCTTCAACTGCAGGCAGTGCTCACAGTGGGTAAGAGTTCAGGCTCTGTTCAGATCCAGCCCCACCCCTTATTCTCTGGGCAAGTGCTTATCCTTGTCAAGCCTCACTTTCCCAGCACTGAAAATGGGATAGGAATCGTACCTGCCTCACATGGCAGTTGGAACTAAAGGAGAGACATAAAGTGTGAAACTAGCTAAAGGGTGCTGAGCCCAGAAAGAGCCCCAATTACATGGCTGCCGTTACTAATATCTACCACTGACCTGCTCATTCATGGATCAAAACAGTTGTTTCTTTTTTTAATTTTTATTTTATTGCTTAAAGCCGTGGTCGGCAAACCACTGCTCACGAGCCACACGCAGCTCCCTGCCCCCACCCCCCCGAGTGTGGCTCTTCCACAAAACACCACGTGTGGGCATGCATGTACAGTGCGATTGAGACTTTGTGGCCCATGCACAGAAGTCGGTATTTTGTGGAAGAGCTGGTATTTTGTGGAAGAGCCACACTCAAGGAGCCAAAGAGCAGCATGTGGCTCTTGAGCTGCGGCCCGCAGAGCCGCAGTTTGCCGACCACTGGCTTAAAGTATTACAAAGAGTAGTACATATGCTTCCTTTTTTACCCATTGACCTTCCCCTGGCCTCCCCTAGCCCCGGTATCTTGAGCCCATTGGTTATGCTTATATTCATGCATACAAGTCCTTAGGTTGATCCCTTACCTCCCCCACCAACCCTCCCCATCCTTCCCGCTGTAGTTTGACAGTCTGTTCCATGCTGCTCTGCCTCTGCATCTATTTTTGTTCACCAGTTTATAATGTTCTTTATTATCCATAAATGAGTGAGATCATGTGGTTTTTTTCTTTCATTGACTGGCTTATTTCACTTAGCATAATGTTCTCCAGTTCCATCCATACTGTTGCAAATGGAAAGAACTCCTTTTTTACAGCAGCATAGTATTCCTTTGTGTAGATGTACTGCAGTTTTCTAATCCATTCATCTGCTGATGGGAATTTAGGCTGTTTCTAAATCTTAGCTAAGGTAAATTGTGCTGCTATGAACATAGGGGTACATGTATCCTTTCTGATTGGTGTTTCTGGTTTCTTGGGATATATTCCTAGAAGTGGGATCACTGAGTCAAATGGGAGTTCCATTTTTAACGTGTTGAGGAAACTCCATACTGTTCTCCACAGTGGCTGCACCAGTCTGCATTCCCACCAGCAGTGCAAGAGGGTTCCTTTTTCTCCACATCCTCGCCAGCACTTGTCGTTTGTTGAATTGTTGATGATAGCCAGCCTGACAGGTGTGAGATGGTACCTCATCGTCATTTTGATTTGCATCTCTCATTTGATTAGTGACTTGGAGCATGTTTTCATATGTCTCTTGGCTTTCTGAATGTCCCCTTCTGAAAAGTGTCTATTCAGGTCCTTTGTCCACTTTTGATTGGATTATTTATCATCCTTTTGTTAAATTGTATGAGTTCCCTGTAGATGTTGGAGATTAAACCATTATCGGTGATAATATTGGCAAATATGTTCTACCATGCAGTGGGCTTTCTTGTTCTATTGATAGTTTTCTGTGTTTATTTGCTGTGCAGAAGCTTTTTATTTTGATGTAGTCCCATTTTTTATTTTCTCTTTAGTTTCCATTGCCCTAGGAGCTGTATCGGTAAAGATATTGCTACCACAAGTGTCTGCTATTTTGCTGCCTATTTCTTCTTCTAAGATTTTTATGGTTTCCTATCTTAAAGTCCTTTATCCATTTTGAGTTTATTTTTGTGTATGGTGTAAGTTGGTGGCCTAGTTTCTTGTTTTTTGCAAGTATCTGTCCAGTTTCCCCAAAACCATTTATTGAAGAGACTCTCTTATCTCCATTGTATGCTCTTGACTCCTTTGTCAAACATTAATTGAGCATACTGGCTTGTGTTGATTTCTGGGTTCTCTGTTCTGTTCCACTAGTCTATATGTTTGTTCTGGTGCCAGTACCAGGCAGTTTTGAGAACAGTGGTTTTGTAGTATAGCTTGCTATCTTGTATTGGGATCCCTCCTACATTGTTCTCTCTCAAGATCGCTGCAGCTATTCGAGGTCTTTTTTATTCCAGATAAATTTTTGGAGAGTTTGTTCTAGATCATTGAAGTATGCCATTGGTATTTTAATGGGGATTGCATTGAATTTATAGATTGCTTTGGGTAGTATGGGCATTTTAATGATGTTGATTCTACCAATCCATGAACATGGTATATTCTTCCATTTGTTCATGTCTTCCTCTATCTCTTTTTTTTCAATGTTGTGTAGTTTTCTAAGTACAGGTCTTTTATGTCCTCAGTTAAGTTTATTCCTAAGTATCTTAATTTTTTTGGTGCACTGGTAAATGGGATTGTTTTTTTCACTTCTCTTTCTGTGAGTTCATTATTAGTGTATAAAAAGGCCATAGATTCCTGGGTGTTAACTTTATATCCTGCTACTTTGCCAAATTCACTTATTAGGTCAGTAGTTTTTTAATGGAGTCTTTGGGATTTTTTATGTATAGTAACATGTCATCTGCTAATAAGTACAGTTTTACTTCTTCTTTTCCAATTGGATGCCTTTTACTTCCTCTTCTTGTCTGATCACTATGGCTAGCACTTCCAGTACTATTTCAAACAGGAGTGGTGAGAGTGGGCATCCCTGTCTTC